TTGATCGCTGAACTCTGTCAGTCACTGCTGTCTGCTCTGCTGCCCTCCTCCCCGCACTGGAGCACTTAGGCTATGGAGGGGGCGAGATTGGCTAGCTCAGGCTCCAATGGATCACTGAGAGGCTGAGACAGGTGCCAGTCCAGGGATCTGGGTGGATTCCAACCATATGGTAACGATCTATCCTCAGCCTGGACCAGCTCTTCAGCCAGCCAGTGACTTCAGCCAGCTGTCAGCTGAAAACAGGTCACAAGAGTGCAGAACAAACTTCAATACTGTGATCAATAGGAGAAGTACAACCAAATGAGCTTTGGCTGTACTTTTCGGAGTCTGATTTGGAAAAACCTTACAGCAAAAGAAGATAAAGTCAAGTCAGAATTCCTAATATGCATTGCTTTCTAAGGTTCATGACTCAGAAGGTATTTAAAGAGAGCCTGTCATCAATGGGCAACTGTGACAATCTGATTCTCTACTCTTGAATTTATATAATAGTGCAGCCTTAGCTCTCATTAATTACGTCTATTTTTATTCTTTTACTGTCAGTATAGAGGTGTCAGGCTATCCTTTCTTCTGCCAGAGCTTGATGAAACTCTCATACATAGTTAACAAAGGTGTTGTAAGGATTGCATGATGAAAAGCGAACTACTTATTACAATTTTATCAAACTAATAAATATGAAATTAACTTTTAATGATGAAATACATAGGATAAGTTCACCTTTGAAACATGTTACATGTTCCACCTGTATTTAGGATGGAACATGTAACATATTCCAGCTTACTCTCTTCCCTCGATCCCCTTCTCCCTGTGATAGTGGGTGAGGGTTCTTCCCCTTGCACCCGCTCCCCCCCCACATAGCTGCGTCATTCATTCACAGATACCTGTGAATGAATAAACTACAACTACCAACTGCCATCCCAGCAGACGGACTTGTAGTTTCAATGGGCTGCAAGAGCCCTGATGAGCACTCTCGTAGTCCACAGACATGTCCTCGAAATTTCAAACACAAAGTCTGTACGGAGGTACGGGCTGAAAGCCAGAAGAATTGTCTGCATTGTGATCTACTGATCGCGGGTACAGGGCTTTCCAGGCTCCCACAGGAAAAATAATAAATGCAAATTTCTTTCTGCAAAAATATGTGCATTTTTAATTTTTTTTCTGTAAAGGTGAACTTAGCCTTTAAAAAGAGCACAAGGTGTCAAGGAAACCATTTTAATTGTTCCAGTACTCTTATCTTCTAAAACAATTATATAAATGGTTATTGGGGGTTCCTCTTGCTAAGTGTATATTTTTATCCTGGAGTGTTGCTTTAACTGCTAAGATTCACATAATGACATCAGTGTAATAATTTCCTCTGGAATTCACACCAAAGTCTTCAAGTTAGTGTTATATAGGGCAATTCTAGCTGTGACACCAAGCTGTGAATATCAGCAGGCAGGGAGGAGGGGGCACCCTCCCTGGGATGTTCCTGTGGGTGTTTGGCACATACAAGTCAAAAGGAGATACCTGTACTATAGGAGGATTCCTCATCTACTGCTGAGAGGTCCAACTACTAATAGTGGGATACCAGGCCTATTCTTGTCATGTATGTGGCAAGGTGAGCCCCCTCTAGAGGTGCTATAAAGGAGGAGCTTGCCCTCTCTTGCTGGAAGCTTGGCTGCTTCCTTTTAAAGGAACACTGTCATATGAGAATCGTGGAGGCTGCTATTGCTCAACTTTTCTTTAAGAATGATGGTTCTCTGCCTTTCTTGGTAAAGCTTTGGCTGTAGTGGTTTCTGAGTCTCTGACCTGGAACAAGTATAGAGATGAGGCATTTTGACTTTTTTTGACACTTACTTACAGCATGCTTGTTCTGTGACATAAAGTGGAACTATACTCACCTTCAGTCCAGCAATGCGGTGTCCCGTAGCTCCCCACCGGTCACTGACATCTACAGGTAGTAGGCTTCCAGGTATCAATTGCCATCCACTCTCATTGGCCTGGATAAGATGACGTCACACATGGGAGTTCAGCCAACTTGGCACTGCCGAATCTGCACAATGAGCTGCGCATGCACAGCTCACTGTACAGGGGCGGGCAGGCAGGTAAATAATATTAAAGCAGAAAGGACATAGCATGTCATTTCTGCATTAAAAATCTTGCCTGTTCACCCATTTTTAATATTTGCTATAAATTTCCATTTTAAAAGTACTTATGTCTTTAGATGGCCAGCAATGGCAGCCCCCATACCTCCCTTGTGACAGTGTCCCTTTACTGCAGATGCTTCTTTAAAAGTATTTTCTTAAAATCTAACTGCAGCCAAAATGTTTGTTTTTGTTTTGGACAAATTGAGGAAGAGTTAACATTTCTGTCAGGTAGAGGGGAGAGTTTTGCCGATTGACCCTGTGACGCCTGTGCAAGAAATAAGGGAAAGGTGGTCACTGGGACAGGAAGGCACAGACCACAATAAAAAATAATGTCGGAATTCTAACCTATTTCCGATTTACTAAAATGTGTTTTTTTTTTTGTCTATGACCCCTATGGAGAGATTTCTTGACGGGGAAAGCTAATGGAAGCACTATCTCTTTCCTGCTCAATTTAAATTAGACATGTTGGCTGGAGTTGTGCTTTAAAAGATTAGTCCTTTCAAATTTATATTTAAATTTTGGGTAGATGCTAGAGAGCTCATGTAAAAATGCACTTTCAGTAAATTAAAAAAAGGACTATCACCAAAAAATTCTAGTTGAATCCCCAGGGACCAAGCATACTTGGTCTTTTTCGGATCTGTGGTCCCATTGTGTATTAAGAGCTGTTGACCATGCCTGTTCAGCAACAGGGCAATGAATTTGAACAGGACCAAGTGCTCCATGTCCTTGGTACTCTGGGGGATTTAAAGTGGTTCTAAAGGCTAAAAGGTTTTTACCTTAATGATTTTCTGCATTAAGGTAAAAAAAAACCTGTCTGTGCCCCCATCCCCTTCCCAAAAACTTACCTGAGCCTGACCTCGATCTAGCACTGCGCAGCTCTTCTCCCCTCTCTCTCTTCTCACAGGAGACTCGGCAGCAGTGGGAGCCATTGGCTTCCGCTTCTGTCAGTCAGGTCCCATGAAGAGGGAGCGTTGGAAGGACAGGGCCAATTCACGTCGTGTGAGTCCTTAGATGCACACAGTCCAGCTCCAGATCGAGCCTGCACGTCTGTCCCCATAGGAAAAGGTTGGCTATAGGGGCAGACACAAAAGAGGAGCAGCCAGGATCACCGGCGAGGGACCACAGAAGAGGAGGTTTGGGGCCACTCTGTACAATATTATTGCACAGAACAGATAAATATAACATTTTTGTTATTTTAATTAAAATAAACAAAAAGAACAAGCTTTATATTCACCTAATAAGGATATTTAATATGCAGTGATACTTCTACTTCAGTACATTTGTACTTGTCCCTGTACCCTATAAAAATTCCATTATGATGGGTTACTTTAACTGAAGATGTTTCCAGCAATATGTTCTGGTTTCCTGTTTGTACTCATCCTGCAGCTCCTGGCTACCACTAAACGCTGATCTTTGTAGACTAAATACACGCTCTGCATTGAGCTGAATCAAGAATCTTCGCGGAGAACAGCGAATGTACTCAGAGCCAGGAGGCTGCAGCAATATTGCTGGAAACAAACTTTCTCTTCTAGTAATGTAACACATCATACTGGCATTTTGTATAGACTGCTGAGGAGACAAAGACAAATAAAACATTTTTACTGAAGATACAGATATACTTTGGAGCTCAATTCCAGGCACAGCTATTTTTATGTTGTTCCATCTTTAATACTCACATTAACACTGTCAATTGTACATAAAAGCTCTAAAAGCTATGCAGAGTTCTGCTAAAATGTACAGTAGGGAGCCACACTTACAGTGGGGTCTAAGACCGGCGTCAGTTATGAAGCCTCTGTTTCTCTCACTCTGCTCTGCCATTTACAAAGCACTGTATAGTGATAGCGGTTTTGCTGTGCTTTGTGTACAGTAGAGTTAGGGACTTTTTCAGACAGCGACTCAGCAATGAAATCCTGAAAATATTTTAACCTTTCCCACTGTAAAACTGAAAATGAAAGGATTTAACTCTTAATTAATATTACTCATTTAAAGGATAAGTTCACCTTTGGGAAAATGTTACAAGCTCCACCCGTTTTTAGGGTGGAACATGTAACGTTCCTATAGCTGCAGCCACGTCCACTGCCCCCCCCCCCCCCCCTCTGACAGATAATAAAGGGAGACGTTTCCCGTATTATCTGTCAGATTTGAAAACAGCATGGCCGTGTGAAGCCCCGCCCACATGGCTGCATCATTCATTCACAGACTTCCATGAATGAATGAACTGCAAGTCCCGACAGCCTTAGTGGCTGTGGGCTTGTAGTTTTCAATGAACTACCACGGCGCTGCGGAGCACCGTGGTAGTTCATTGAAGCTTCCTATCAGAATATCTGCTTGGCCGTACAACCCTGTACGGCAAGCAGATATTTTGACAGGTCTGCAGGAGACCTGCACGGCATCAGCAATCTACTGATTGCTGGTTCAATGCTTTCCAGGCTCCTTTGGACAAAAATTAATAAATGCGCATTTTTTTTAACTGCAAAAAAATGTGCATTTAATATTTTTGTCCAAAAGGTGAACTTATTCTTTAGCACACAAAACTCCAATGGTGCAGGTGGACAGGGCGTTCAGAAAAAGCCAGGAACTATGGTGCTAACACATCTCCACGCACGTTGTCGTAAAAATCCGGCAAGTGCCAGATTCAACCCGCAACTGAAATGCCACTTTTGCTGGACCAATCCTGATGAATATAAAGAATTTTTATACACGAATTCTGAAAACTGTTATAGTATTTTTGCAGTCAGACAAGTAGGGCCTTCAGAAGAATTATTGAGCCAAGTATGAAGTTACTACAGACAGCTCTCACCCCAGATATAGGTTATACTGTATAGTGAGTGTGAAGGTCTTCCTTAGCTACTTACATACAGCTGTGGTGGGTGATCCCTATACCAATCCATCATATAGAGATAGTGCCTGCACAATCGAGGGGTCTGCCTTTGATCCTTCTTGAAATTCCTGCAGAGTCAGTTTACCATCGGAGTTCTGTAAGAAAAAATAATAGTAATAAACACTGAAAGAGGAAATCACAGGGTGTCTTCACTGAACATATAACCTTAAGGTGTATCTTAAAGTCACTGTTTCCTTTGTTCATACAGGGCAAAGTAAGAGGTTCACTTACCTTCCCCCTCTCCAGCAGTAAATACTTACTCTTCCTCACTCCTGTGCCACTCAGTTCAGATGCAGAACCTAGAGAAAGAAAAGCTCCAAACTTGTTTGAGCTTACACAGGGCTAGAGATTCCTTCCCTGGACCCATGTGACTGCTCTGCACCAATAAGCAGGTATATTACATGGAAACATGGGAGGGGGAAAGTGTGAATCAGCTGAATAGATCGATGGGTGAGTGAGGAAAGCTAAATTGTGTTGCTGGAGGGGAGGGGAGCATCTAAGTGACCTTTTTACTTTGCCCTACATTTGCAAAAGTAGAGTTTTATTTTAAAGTGAAAATATGCAGAGGACACTATAGCCAACTTCTCCTCCTGACAATGCTTGTTGTCTGGCTGTTCTGCTGAACATTTTGCTTTAAAACTTCCAGGTCCCTTTATTCTAAAGTAAAAATATGCAGATAATACTACAGACAATGCTTGTTGCCTGGCTGTTCTGCTTAACATTTTGCTTTAAAACTTCCAGGTCCCTAACCCAGCACAAGTATATACCAGAACGTTGGTCCTCACTTTGCCTCTCCTGCTGTGCATATGTATGCCAGATCAGGGACTTTGAAAGTATTAAAGCCTTACATGGCCAAGCAGCCAGCATTTTCAGAAAAAAGGTCAGCAATGGCAACTTCCATACTTGTCTCATTACAGCAACAACCAGTAGTATACAGTAATCAATATCAGCAGCCAATCACAGATTAGCTTTAATTATTCTGCACAAGAGCTGTCATTAAAAAAAGGTGCTAGAAATGCAACCAATTCTGGGATGATCCAGTTTGTTGGTGTTTTAGCATACATACAGGTAATGATATAAGACAGCATTTTACATGATTGGGTCCCTGCCCGAGGGCCCAGAGTCAGTAGAGGGCCCAAAGAGATGCCCCTGGTACCTTTTTCATAGGCTTTTTTGAGTTTGGGCAAGGAGCACCTAACAGAGGGCCCAATTAGGCCCTGTTCACATCTAGTGACAGCAGAGTGTCGCAGTTTTTGTGTGCTTTGAAAGGAATTTTTTGGCCACGCTTTTCCAGCAGAACAGTTCATTTGAATGTGCTGCTCTCTGCTCCATAAACACTTCAAAATAGCTCCTGTACCTTTTTTTTTAATGGACTTTGGCGCGTTTTCAGTGTACTGCATGCATTTTGTCTCTCAAAAATCCCTACCCGTTTCTTCTGCATGTTTGGAATGCCATTAATAATACTGACATCCAAACTCATGTTGCATATTTTTCAGCGATTTTACCGCTTTCCAGAATCGTAGGATATGAATGGAAGGTAAGTGAACCCTTGTGCTGCAATTATCTTATGACATAATGCCCGTTCCTCTCACCTTGTCCATCATTGCAAAAATCCGGTCCACCCTCTTCTCTGGAGTGTTTTCCTCCTCTGGAAGCTCCACTGTGTTACCCTGCACAAAAGAAAACCACATCACTTAAATGCACTGCAAAAGTATTCTCAGGAATAGATTGCATTCTGTAAGTGGCATTACATTGTTCAGTTACTGGTCATTTGATTTTGTTCACACATTTCAGTGGTGATAATTTGGCACATTGTAAGTATTCAAGCCCAATTCCTACCAATGTTTTGGTATAGACCGTGGGAAAGGGTTGGAATCTTTGTTGGATTTTTATTTCTGACTGTCTCCATTAGGAGAGTTGCACTCACTTCCTGTCCTGGTGACAGACTGTCACCAGAACTGATGGGGAAATTTCTCCAGATGGGGACAGAGATGATAACACTGACATATAACAACACTTTTTCCTTAAAGCTGAACTCCTGGTATAGTTTGTATAGCATAGGTCCAAGCTGGAGCAATGTGGCTGTGTAAGTAAATACATTCCATACCTGTGGAACTGCAGTGGAAACAGAGAATCACTAGAACGGTCTGTGTTGCTACAGTGATCATTGTGGTCCTTCAGGTTCTGTGCTGGGAGGCTGCTCTTTTGCATAGTGAACACAGGGGGTTCCTTGCTCAGCACTGCAGTCAGTCACAAAAATCATTGTATTTTTTTCAGTGCATACAAGGTGTTCTCTGACTGGCCGAAGTGGAGAAAGGTGGGGCACTATTTTTTTTTATTTTTGTTTACCCAATTCCTGCAGCATGAAACAGCATTTTTAGTCAATGTGACATCATCACCATGTTTGTAAAAAATCTTGCAGAAACGGCTGCAGAGCTCAGTTACTACTGATTTAAGCAAGCTCCCAGAACTACATCTCCCAAGAGCCCTTTCCCTACATGTAGTGTATGTGCAGTCTCTTGGGAGGCAAGGCAGCAGGATTGTTTTATTGGAAGAAATTAATGTATGCATGTGCAAAGGGACAGAATGATGTAGGGAATAGGTGGATTTCTGTAGTCCAGTAGGTTGGGATTTCAGTGCAGCACAGGCACCGTTTCAGCCTAAACCATATGTTAAGAGCTCACTGGATTTCTGTCAGAATAACAGATTCTGAGCATGCTGAGTTTTTAAAGGGGAAGTGTGCACACATGGAACAAATGTTTTTTGTTGACGCTCACATATACTTTAAAGTGGGTCTGAAGATTTTTTTAACCTAATGAATTAAAGTAGAAAAAAAACCTTCTGAGTGCAGCTCCCATCCCCCCAATACTTACCTGAGCCCAAACTCGACCCAGCGCTGTGCAGGAGACTAGCGGCTCTCTCTCCTCATGGACTCAGAGATATCAGCGCGAACAAATGTTTCTGTCAATCACAGCCAGTGAGGAGCGAGTGGGGCCGAACTTCGCTTTGTGTATCTATGGACACACAGAGCTGGCTTGGGAGCGAGCATGCACAATTGTCCCATAGCAAGCAGCTTGCTCTGGAAACACTCAGCGGGGGGGCCAAGATCGCTGGAGGGGGACCCGAGAAGAGGAGGATCAGAGCTGCTCTGTGCAAAACCATTGCACAGAGCAGGTAAGCATGACATGTTTGTTATTTAAAAAACAAAAGGATGGGTTTACAATCACTTTCACTGCATTGGCTGTGCTATTTGGCACAGATGGCTGGATCCCAAGACTGGCTGAAAAGAATTTAAATTCTTTTAATGAAAGTGTTTGTAACTATGTATTTAGTTGCTTGCCTGAAGTTTATCTTGTTTTTTTTCTGATAAATGTGAAATGCAAAAATATTATTTCTTGCATTTGGATTACTTAATTTATTGGCTACATTAGATCCAAACTTACCACCATCTGGTAAATTGCATCCACAATATCCAGCATCTCGTTTCGTGTGATGTAGCCGTCATTGTCCAAGTCATACAGTTTAAATGCCCCTAAATGAAGTAAACAAAAGTCATTCTCAGACACAAACCTCTTTTTCCTTGAATATCAACATCACAGATAATTTAGCAAGTTAAAAAAATCTTGCATTTGCCAGATATGTACATACATATGAACATTTCTAAATTATGCTTCAGCAATCTCTGGGCTGGCAGCCAAGAACAATGGCGAATCAGCTAAACATTTCACACACAGTCTTTGTTAAAATCTTCCCTGTGTGATAAGTAAATCCAACTGTCAGAGGATCTCATTATTATCCCATAGGAGTTGGAAAGGAGCCCAGGTATAGTAAGCCTTAGTTAAAATAACTGAAATAATAGAACTTCTTTTAAAAATCATCTACTGCAAAGACTATTTTTTTTCTTCTATGACGGTGGCCTCTTTCAGCAGAATGATGTAGCCTGTCACAATGCAAAAAAAAGAATGGCTTGAAGAAAATAACAAGTTGGGGGAGGTTGACTTGTCCTCCAAATTCTCCAGATATCAATCCAATGGAACATCTGTGGGATGTGCTAGAAAAACAAGTCTGATCCATGGATCACATCTCAACTTGCAGGACTTGAAGGATTTCCTACTGACAGTTTTCAGCCAAATACTACAACATACCTTAAGAGGTTCAGTGGCATGCATGCCTCCACAGGTCAGGGCTGTTTTGTTAGCAAAAGGGGTTGTTCTGGTGGCAAAAGGGGGACCTACTCAAAATTAGGTAGGTGGTCACAAAGTTATGGCTGATGGGTTTTGTGGTAAGGCCAATATATATATATATATATATATATACATATATACACACACACACATACACACACACAGCTGTGTTCAAAATAATAGCAGTGTGTTGAAAAAAGTGAATGAAGCTCAAAATTCTTCTAATAGCTTTTATTTCCATCCACACAAATGGGAACACGACACATTCTATTCCAAATCAAAACATTAAGAAAAATAGATCAAATTTGTGTTGTTCCTCTAAAAAAAAATTGAAGAAAAGTGAATATTTAGACTGTTCAAAAAAATATAAGTGTTTGTATTCTTCTTTACAAACTCAAACATTCACTATATAAACTGAAAAATGTTTGAAGATTTTGCTTTCCTTTGAATCACTTAATGAATATTTAGTTGTATAAGCACTGTTTCTGTCTGTTGGATTTCTATTACTCTATTACACCTACTAGTAAATTATTTGCCATGTAGAAATATCATTTCTACCAAAAACAGTGATTGATCAGGTTAGTGATGTCTGACTATATATACAGTCAGGTCCATAAATATTGGGGCATCGACAATTCTAACATTTTTGGCTCTATACACCACCACAATGGATTTGAAATGAAACGAACAAGATGTGCTTTAACTGCAGACTGTCAGCTTTAATTTGAGGGTATTTACATCCAAATCAGGTGAACGGTGTAGGAATTACAACAGTTTGCATATGTGCCTCCCACTTGTTAAGGGACCAAAAGTAATGGGACAGAATAATAATCAGAAATCAAACTTTCACTTTTTAATACTTGGTTGCAAATCCTTTGCAGTCAATTACAGCCTGAAGTCTGGAACGCATAGACATCACCAGACGCTGGGTTTCATCCCTGGTGATGCTCTGCCAGGCCTCTACTGCAACTGTCTTCAGTTCCTGCTTGTTCTTGGGGCATTTTCCCTTCCGTTTTGTCTTCAGCAAGTGAAATGCATGCTCAATCGGATTCAGGTCAGGTGACTGACTTGGCCATTGCATAACATTCCACTTCTTTCCCTTTGGTTGCTTTTGCAGTATGCTTTGGGTCATTGTCCATCTGCACTGTGAAGTGGCGTCCAATGAGTTCTGAAGCATTTGGCTGAATATGAGCAGATAATATTCCCGAAACACTTCAGAATTCATCCTGCTGCTTTTGTCAGCAGTCACATCATCAATAAATACAAGAGAACCAGTTCCATTGGCAGCCATACATGCCCACGCCATGACACTACCACCACCATGCTTCACTGATGAGGTGGTATGCTTAGGATCATGAGCAGTTCCTTTCCTTCTCCATACTCTTCTCTTCCCATCACTCTGGTACAAGTTGATCTTGGTCTCATCTGTCCATAGGATGTTGTTCCAGAACTGTGATGGCTTTTTTAGATGTCGTTTGGCAAACTCTAATCTGGCCTTCCTGTTTTTGAGGCTCACCAATGGTTTACATCTTGTGGTGAACCTCTGTATTCACTCTGGTGAAGTCTTCTCTTGATTATTGACTTTGAAACACATACACCTACCTCCTGGAGAGTGTTCTTGATCTGGCCAACTGTTGTGAAGGGTGTTTTCTTCACCAGGGAAAGAATTCTTCGGTCATCCACCACAGTTGTTTTCCGTGGTCTTCCGGGTCTTTTGGTGTTGCTGAGCTCACCGGTGTGTTCCTTCTTTTTAAGAATGTTCCAAACAGTTGTTCTGGCCACGCCTAATGTTTTTGCTATCTCTCTGATGGGTTTGTTTTGTTTTTTCAGCCTAATGATGGCTTGCTTCACTGATAGTGACAGCTCTTTGGATCTCATCTTGAGAGTTGACAGCAACAGATTCCAAATGCAAATAGCACACTTGAAATGAACTCTGGACCTTTTATCTGCTCATTGTAATTGGGATAATGAGGGAATAACACACCTGGCCATGGAACAGCTGAGAAGCCAATTGTTTATTACTTTGGTCCCTTAACAAGTGGGAGGCACATATGCAAACTGTTGTAATTCCTACACCGTTCACCTGATTTGGATGTAAATACCCTCAAATTAAAGCTGACAGTCTGCAGTTAAAGCACATATTGTTTGTTTCATTTCAAATCCATTGCGGTGGTGTATAGAGCCAAAAATGTCAGAATTGTGTCAATGTCCCAATATTTATGGACCTGACTGTACATACACACTGTGCAAGTTGGTTGACTTACATCTCAGCTTCTCATCCAGGGTCCCACGTGAAGTGACAGATAAGGCCTGGATAAATTCTGAAAACTCAATCCGTCCATCCTGCAAAAAGATAGTAAGATAATAAATGATGCTTCTGCCTGCGCAAGTGTATCTGTGCCCTTATCACAAGCTTGCTATGGGGGCACCCTCAAAAGAGGAGAAGCAGACAGTGGCAGACTACCAAAAACGAGGTATGGGACCAGCTTGTTGCACACAGCAGGTATATAAATCAAGTTTTTTATTTTATTTTTTTTAATTGACTTTATTATTACTTTAACTTCACTTGAATATTTCTAATTGATCATTGTAATATAGTTGGATACTGATGAATTCAATCATCCATGTTCTTCCTATACCATACTCTTGTAATCCAGCCAGGAGATTTCTGCACTGGAATTCCTGCCTCTATCCCTCGCCAAGTGAAGGAGACACTATGTGGTGCGCCAGGTGGGCGAAGTTGGGAATTCTTATGCAGAAAAGCCAGTGTCCCTGAGAGATACAGGAACTAATGAGTGACTCCAGCATAAGCTTTGAATGGTGCAAACCACAGGGGACTAAATCACAAGCATGCATATGCTGAAACGTGCACACATAACATGTATTAATGCATGTTTTTACAAAATCTGCATTGTTGTGTGCAGGGGCGGACTGACAACTCATGGGGCCCCCGGGCAATAGGAGATCATGGGGCCCGTGTCCTCGCCCACACTAAAAAAGCCTATGAAAAAAGGTACCAGGGGCATCTCATGGGGCCCCCTACTGACCCCGGGCCCTCGGGCAGTGCCCGAGTTTCCAAATGGTCAGTCCGCCCCTGGTTGTGTGCTTTTATGTACAATAGACACAGAACATGTAACCAGCACAAGGCTGACTCTCTCAAAGTCAGCTTCATTTCTGTACACACATGTGGGACATTACTGCCCCCCACTGCAGGCGGAAGGAGGGGCACAGAGACTGCGCTAAAATACAAAGACTTGACTTGTTCTCTTCATTCTTTACACTATCCTAAGGCCTCAAGCACACTGGACATTTTGCTATCTCTGCTAGACTCCTTTTTTCACGTTTAGGCGTGTCCAGAATTTTTTTTTTGCCAAAACACAACTGCTCTGGGATGCACTGGCAGTAGGTTTTTTTTCTGCTTCTAAACGCCTACGTGTGCATGGACACATAGGTTAACATGCAGCAGCATTTACAGGCAACCCCCCCATCCCCCCCAAAAGAAAACCAAAACATCATAAAAAAATGCCCAGTGTGCATGAGGCGTAAGGATTAAGATCTGTGGCTTTAATTGAGAAAGTCACATGATTAGCTTTGAACATACCATTATGACCACTGTACAGAAATGGCAAATGAAACCATGAAACTTGTAATCGTTGCACCTACACACAAGTAAATCTGTGCTGTCTGGGCCAGGAGTAAATAAACCAGTTAAACTTAAATTAATAAGGATAAATGAATCATAACGTGCGCTGCATACTTGTTCTTGCCGTAACTACCACGGCATTATATAATGTAATAAATTAGGAATGAAAAGTGTAATTGGCTGACAGGCTCTGGAGAGTCCTGGGTGCAGCAGAAGACATTAAGTATAATTGTAAGATTCTCTACTCGTTCTCCGAGGAATTTAGTCATATTAAGTGAAAATACAGTAACGTATTTGCTGGAAACAGATGCAGCTCTGGGGACAGCACTGAGCACAAAGGTCAGGAGAAAAGTGCCTTTATCAAATGTTCAGCTATGGTAAAACTGTCATTAACTGCTTCAGTAGAATGTCACCAATGACAGCCCTCAGGTTTCCTTTAATAAGAAGCTATAGCAGTTTTGCTTCAGTTTTATTTTCATTTTATACCTATAGGTAACCAATCTTTGTTGTGTAAATAGGCATCTGCTATGTAACAAAGGGTTCCCATAGCACTGAAGAGAGAGTAGTATAAGCAGTTCCCTTTCAGGCAGGCTGTCTCTCATTGAAACTTTAAACCTGAACTCTGGTATAAGAAAATATTGTAGAACTACAAGACTAACGTGTATTTTTACTGGCCGTGCATCACACTGCTCCCACTGCATACTGCCCCACAACACACAGCTCACCGCCCCACTACATACTGCTCACTGCCCCTACTACATACTGCCCCATTGCCCCCACTGCTCACTGCCTCCACTGCATACTGCCCCACTACATACTGCTCACTGCCCCAACTACATATTGTCCCACTGTGTACTACTCATTGCCCCCACTGCATACTGTCCCACTGCATACTGCTCACTGCCCCCATGCATACTGTTCCACTGCATACTACTTATTCATTCCACTGCATACGGCCCCACTATATACTGCTCATTGCCCCACTACATACTGCTCACTGTCCCCAGCGCATATGCCCCCACTACATACTGCTCACTGTCCCCAGTGCATACTGCCCCTATTGCCTACTGCCCCACTAAATACTTCTCGCTGCCCCCCTGAATACTGCTCCACTACACACTGTCTCACCGCATACTGCTCACTGCCCCACTACATACTGAAGGGGGCACACTGACTGCCATACTCCTGCAGGTCAATTGTTATTCAATGTTGGGGGTTAATTATTGTGAAGTTCTGGGGGTTAATAATGCAAAATTCTGGGGTTTATTGCAGTGCTGGGAGTTACTATGTCATGCTGGGGTTTAATATTGTGCCTTGCTGGGAGTCAATTGTTGTGCCATGCTAAGGGGTTAATTTGTGTGCATTGTTAGATGTTAATTGTTGTGCAGTGCTGTGGGTATATTATTTTGCTATACTGATGGTATTGTGCTATGGTGAAGGTTAAATATTGATTTGTGCTTGAGGCTATTTATTGTGCCAGGCAGGGTGTTAATTTTATTTTTGTTCCATGCCGTGGGTTATTTATGCCGTTCTGGCCTTAAGCTTGCTGAGGTTATTGCTGACCCTGACACTTGCTGGGGTATCATTTCTAGTACCATTTGGGCTTATTTTACTCCAACAATCTTTTTAGTGTGCTCCAAGACTGTCTATGCAGCGGGATAAAACACGAAAAAACACCCATGTTTTGGTCACACCCACAAAAGCACAGCACGCGGCACACGCTGCATTACCACCCCCACTTATACTTTCGGCACCCTCACAGCACTCAAAAAAAATTGTGTGTGGAGCTGTGCATGTCCTCAGGTTTTTTTCCTAGAGACAATGAGGGAGATTTACTAAAACTGGGGCACTCAGAATATGTTGCAGCTGTGCATGGTAGCCAATCAGCTTCTGCAGCTTGATCATTTAAGCTTTGACAATAAAACCCGGAAGCTGATTGGTTTCGATGCAGAGCTGCACCAGATTTTGCAACTCTTCAGTTTTTGTATTTCCTATATACCCTATATCAGGGATATTGAAATAAAATTGATGGGGATCCAGTCATTACAATTTTCATCCAGCAAAGGTCCAAGACTCTTGTTTGTGCTATGACTCGGTTTCTTCATATCACAGCCCCTCCCCTTTACATCACAGTCCCCCCTTTATACCACAGTGCCCCCTTTTACATTGCAGAACCCCCTCTGTACAGCACAGCACAGAACCCCCACTTTACAATGCAACCCCCCTTGACAATGCAGCCCCTTCTTTACTTTACAGTGCCTGCTTTACATCACAGCCCCTTTAACATCCAAGTTCCCCCATTTTACATCACAGCGCCTCCTTTACCTAAATGCCCTTCACATCACAGCCCCCCTCCTTACATCACAGACTCCCACCCTTTATATCAGTGTCCTCAGCCCCCACCTCACATCACAGTCCCCCTCTCCTTCACATCAGTGTCCTCTGTCACCCTTTCACATCACAGCTCCCCCTCCTTGTATCCCAGTCCCCTTCACAGCCCCCTTTCCTTGTATCCCAGTCTTCTTCACAGCACCCCTTTTTTTGCACCCTAGTCCCCTTCACAGCCCCCCTCCTTGTATCCCAGTCCCCTTCCAGCCCCCCTCCTTGTATCCCAGTCCCCTTCACAGACCCTCTTCCTTGTATCTCAGTCTTCTTCAAAGCACCCCTTCCTTGTATCCCAGTCCCCTTCACAGCACCCCTTTTTTTGCACCTCAGTGCCCTTTACAGCCTCCCCCTTACTTGCATCTCAGTCCCCTTCAGATTCCCCCCTTTCTTGCTCCCCAGTAACTTTTATAGGTCTCTATTTTTGTATACTGGTCCCCTTCATGGCCCCCCTCCTTCCTTTCTTGCAGCCCAGTCTCCTTTATATGAATACCCCCCTCCCTTTCATTACCCCCTGCCAATCACAACCCTCCTCTAACCTTTTTGTTCCTACCTTACACAGTAGGTAGAAAGCAGAAGGTACGGCATGCCTGGACAGAGAGTGGGACATGTAGGAATTGCTTTTCATGTTAACAGGCAGATGATTGGTTGCTAGGAACACCTAACAACCAATCACCGGCTTGTTAACTTCAAAAACTGGGTAGCTCCCGCCCTCTGCCTGGACATGCCGTGCCTTCTACCTGCTATAAGGATAATTATGTGGGGTGGTGGCGACGGGGAGAGGAGTATATCAGCCAGCAGAGGACATCCAGGCTGCTAAATGGCGGAGCCACGGGCCGTATAGGACTATCATTCAGTCCGTTTACGGACTGTGGACCGCTATTTAGTGATGTCTGCCCTATATAGTTAATAGAACATACATTTACTTACTTTGTTCTCATCAAAAACATTGAAGACAAATGTGGCAAATTTAGTTGGGTCTCCAAAGGGGAAGAACTGTTTGTAAATCTTCTGAAAACCGGCAGCATCCAACTGGCCACTGGGACAATCTTTGATGAAGCCTTTATACCTACAAAAAGAAGACAGGCCCATTACAGGCGCTCATATTAATACATCAAGGCAAGCTTTTACCAAAAGAACTATTACATATGGACAGAAGATAATGGACTTACATGCAGAACTGGTGGGTTTTAATCAGCACAACCTGGGTGGTAAATGAAGGTCAAAAGCAATTGCAATCAAGGGTATTGAAAAAAAAAAAAAAAAGGCAAAATATTCTTTTGACGTGAAACACTCTTGAAATGGTTATATTTAATTTGGGATTTTTTTTGTGGTTTCAGAACATCGTAAAGGACACATATCCAAAAAGTGCAACCAAGCCTAGAATATTTACAAACACAATATTGAAATTATAGTCCAGGACAAGCAAAATTGTTATTGTAGATAAATTCATTTTGACTGCCTTTACAGTTAAACTAATTGCCAGACAAAAGAACGTGTCATATATATAAATACATTCAGGAATCTTTAAGGGTTCTTCCACACAGGCAACCACTGGGGAATGAAAAACAGGTGGCTGAACTGCAGTTTTACCACCCCTTGGCTGCCCACTCAAATTCTAACACTAGAGCCTGACAGGGCTATACATATGCCACAGCCGTCAAGCTTTGTAGTTTAAAAAAAAAAAAAAAAAAACAAGAAATTAGGTGTCAGGAGTCAGCGGTAGTGCCTCCTAATCAGTCACTGCTATACCACCCTCTGATAAGTGATCCATAGCTGCTGAAAAGGGTGGTAAACTTACCACCTCTGAAAGAACCCTGCCCAGAGATGGGTCATTTTTTTTTCAACCAGCCAGCAGGCTGATAAAAATAGGGAATTAATTCACCCACCCACTCAAGCGATGTGGATGTGCTGTTGTATCCTCACAGCGGGGTCTGTTCTGCTGTCAGAATACATTGATCAGTGCTACAGCCGCGGATCACATGAACATTATCCAACATGCCTTTTTGCGAGGACGGCCATAGATGGATCGAAGATTGGCTGGTCCCTGCTGAATAGAACAAATTTTGATACATCTATGGCCAGCTTAAAGGAACACTCCACTGTTCTAAAAATGTACATATGTAATTGCTAATGAGCTATATTCTAATAGAAATCTGAACTCCAAGCAAATAGCTAAAATTGTTAAAGTTTTTTTTTACCTGACAAAAACTTGCATTTCTGTCTATCCATTCCTGATTTGCACAGCTTTGGTGACCTGACTCTGCTGCACTTAAGTAATATAATGTGGTCATGTCCTTGTCTCCAGACTGTGGCTGTCTTATGCCTCTTCTCACTCTGTTCTCTCCTTTTGTCAGCATGTCCTTTGTCAGTACCTTTGCATGCAGCAGAGCTCAACTGGCTTCTACTGTAATTGTATGGGGGATTTCAAGAATCTGAAATCTGTCAAACCAGGTACTTATACTACCTTGCATTTAAAAATTGATGTTTTAATGAATACATAACTGCTTGTTAGATGCTTTAAGGATAATGACGTTTAAATGATCCAGACCTCAGCAGCCCTCAGAACAGTTGCAGCGTTTCATGGTTCATAACTGCAGTTTAGCAATTCATTCACATATAGCCAAAAACTTCCTTTAATTATGCCAACACAGCAGCAATTAATTACTAGAATTATTTTAAATTGTGACCCAATCAATCAATCAATCATATCAGCTTTCATTGCAAAGGTGCACTCGAATAGTGATCTCTGGATTTAAGCTGGCTGCTATGGTCCATATCTCCTCTGCAGTTATTATAAATCATAACCAGTAACAGGTTACTGCACCTCCTAGGGAATCATTTTACCACCATCCCCATTTTACGATGATATTAAACACAAGTCATAATGGTTGATTTCCTAAAACTGGAGCATGCAAAATCTGGTGCAGCTCTGCACAGAAACCAATCAGCTTCCAGATTTTATTGTCAAAGCCTAATTGAACAAAAGTTAGAAGCTGAATGGATACCATGCACAGCTGCACCAGATTTAGCACTCTCCAGTTTCAGTAAATTATCCCATAGTGTCAACCTCTAGCCCTAGTTTTGTTACTGGTTAAAATATGAATTGCCAGCCCCGGAGGTGAGGCCACAGCTTCCCAATGCCCCCAAGCACTGGTATTATTACATAGCTTCTTCCTCCATATAAGCTTTGCCTTCCAAGTCTTGCCTTTCCCCTTCCAAATGCTAATTAAATGTGAATCTGGATCACTCCCAATTTCACCCCAATTAACACAAAAGCTTGCGTACACGTTCCAAGAGAAAGCGAAAAATACACACAAGGTCTGCCAGAGCTTTGAGAACGCGTTCTATCTTGGCGTACAGCAGTCTGTCCGTCTGTGGCTTTGTTTGTATCAGCCTATGCAGTTCCTGTAAGAGTATACCCTATACTGTATGGAATATATATATAATATACAGATTGTGTATGTAATTGGATGGGACACCTCTGGAGTATATACTAGCCCGCAGATTGTCTGTATAGGCCTTCGTGTTAGTAGATGCGGACGCACACAGAACTAGTAATACTGTATACATAGATGCTAATGTTTAAAGGAATTGTAACCTGATGGATTTCAATTTAACTATGGACTTTGGTATAAATATTCAAAGTTAGGCATCTAAAAAATTTTTCCCTAAACTTCTATTACCCATAAATTTGTTATGCTTAGTACACGTGATGAGAAAATCAGATGAAAAATACCACTTTTGGAGCGATCATCCGATAATCTGATCGTTAGTACACTTACACCCCGGTCACATTGGGTGCAACTTGGCATGCGATTTGCTAAGTCGCACCCTATTGTCCACTATTAGAGCAGTCATATTAGTGCAGTTCCGACTTGGTCAGAGCGGCACTGATTTCTAAAGTAGTAAATGCACTACTTTTGTTGTGATTTGCATAGAGATCTGTGTCAGATGTCTTGCAAATCGCAACTGAAATCAGCAGGCCACCCGATTTTGAAATCATGCGACTTCACTGTAAGTCACACGATTTCAAAATCGTCTTTGATGTGACCGGGCGCTTAGTGGATTTCGAGAGCTGATCATGACAGTTCATGTGAAATTATCTGAACGGAGAAGCACAAAAATTTTTCTCATAAGATAACAGAACAAATGAATTTTGTTTAATCACCACAGTATTCGTCCATAAAACTTAAGTGACCAAGAGCGCGCATGCTCGGAAACAAAGAAAACATTATAATACAATACATCATCGCAGGAAGTTGTATTCCATCTTATAAGAATTTTCGTAGCTTTAGTAACCTATTCATTTTCGGTCTAGCATGCAAAAAAAAAAAAAAAAAAAAAAAAAAAAAGGACAATCATTAGTCCGATATTCTCATCTTGTGTACCAGGTATTGAGGCCTGGTGATCGTGAATGGGCCGCTTGTTTGGGCTGTCTGCGTTTGGGGCTACTCACCCACACCCGCATGCAGTAAATTTGGACAAGTGTATCCATGCAGCTGCTACATTCACATACACTTATATGGGCACGCAGCACCAGGCAGCTTTAGCCACATAAACATTCATTCATGATCTACGGGCCTCAGTGCCTGTGTGAATGCCTTATGTTCACCTTTCTTTCTTTGCAATGCTTGACACACTAAAGTATAATGTCAGTTTAATTTGGGGAAAAAAAATCAATTCTAGTAAACACTTTTGTAAATTCTTACTTGCTGTTTTGCAGACTGCGACAAGCCATTTATTTATTACAGGCACTGCTTTAGCGCTGTCAATTTACACAGCACTTTACATACTGCACATTCACATGCATACTAGGGCCAATTTAGACAGCAGCCAATCAACCTACCAGCTTGTCTTTGGATTGTGGATACCCACACAAGTATAGGGAGAACATGCTAACTACATGCAGAGTGTCCTTGTTGATATTCAAACTGAGAACCCCAGTGCTGCAAGGCAGACGTGCTAGCCACTAACCCACTGTGCTGAACCATACTAGTATACTAGCTGTAAGTCAATGCTAGGTGTGAGGGTCTGTCAAATACATTCAGGTGTACTGCAGTGAACCTGGGGCAGTCAAGTCCACACATCACTGGTAGGGGCAACCTTGCCTTGGAATTCCCAAAGGACATAGAAAACCAGTGAGTTAATAAGGTCACCAGACTCCAATGTTCACTTTGTTGGGGCAGCAGTTAAAAACAATAAACCCCACCAATCCTTTGGCTCTGTACACATTGGGATTTTTCAAAACAGTCAACACTGTCTAACAAAGTATGTTGCATAGAAGATTTCATTTCCTGCCAAAAGGGAACATTCTAGAAGACTTCGTTCTACTGGATTGATTTTAGGTTCACTACTGAGTATGAAGCTCTTCCATGCAACGACCCTTCACGATTCTCATAATTCTCTGTTATTAGCCCAACAGATAAGTGCATACCATGGTCTGAGGTTGGAGGAGAGGGACCCGAGTATCTACTTCTTCTCACCTCTTACTCCCAAGATCACCCATCACCCCCCCCCCCCCCCCCCCCCCCCCGAGGAATCCTATCACCTGGACACTCTGGACCCCTATATGCCAGTTTACATTTCCTTAGCTTTCTCTTACCTAGTTAACTCTCTAAGGCTGGCCATACACTATACAACTTTCTGTCCACTTTCTGCCAAATTTCATTTAGATTTATCTTCAACTGCGCAGTGCAAAGAGCCTGCCTAATTGAATACAATTGAAAGTGTTGTTAGGTTTGACCTATTATATGGTTTTTGGGTAAACCTAAACCAAAAATCTCAAGAGAATTGGATAATCTATGGCCAGCCTTAGGCTGCATGCACAGTTGAGCGTTTTGTAGCTTGAAGCTCGAAGCTCCAAAAAAGCTCAAACTTAAAAAAATCAATTGTTCTCTATGGTGCCTGTTCACACAATCAGGTGTGAACAGGCACCATAGAGAACAATTGATTTTTTAAATTTGAGCTACAAGCTACAAAACGCTTTAGTGTGAATGCAGTCCAATACCCTTGTGTGACAATCGCGGCATCAGACCCCCCAGCCCTTCTCACCAACTTGTGATCGAAGGACTAGCCAATCTAAAACCGCG